AATCTTCAGAGGAACATGGCTACTAGCCTTTGCAAAGATCAATAACATGATCCCTGGACTGTAACAAAAAACATCAAATGGTAATGAAAAAAATTTGCAGAGGCAATACTGGCAAGAAAACAAAACCTCCAACATCAACATTTATCAGATTCAAGAAAAACAAAATCATGAAAAAAAAAAAAAAATTACCACCTGTTCATTTGTGAAGTTAAAAACACAAGCATGTAGTGAAACATTACCTGATCTTGATCTCTTGAACATTTTTATCCGAAATGGAGTATAGCATTGTGTAATTTTTGAGGTCAAACACTTTATATATGCTGAAAAAAAATAAAAAGTATGAAGGAAAGCATATTAATGTCAAGCAGCTGACTGAATTTTATGATCACATCTCAGCAAAGCACAAAACAAAAGGTGACATGAAGGGGTATTTACTTATCCTGTGCAGAATAAGTGAGTACTTTTCCATTTACATCATCAAACTCTACAAAGCCAGGCCATTTCAGCGACTCAGATTCAAAAAGACCAAAGCCAGCATCAGGTTTACCCCTCCTTATGTATCTGGATCATAAAGTAAAGATCACGTTGTAAGCAAGAGAGAAATGGAATGAAATAAATTTAATGTCTCTTGATGTTTTTTCTTCATTCTCTTTGATTCCTCCTGGATATTGAGAAGAGAAAAAAAAGGAGAGCCACATACTCAATTCTCGTGCTTCTACACTTCAAAGAACTGTAATTGTCCGAAGCATAAACTGAAACTGTGATAAGTGAGTCATTGTTTTTATTGTAAAACAAACTTCTTATAACTTCATCAGGAGTGACATTCAGAAAGCATATCCTTTGGTTAGTCTCTGCATCCAAGAGTAGGACATCATGAGAAATAATATTCCTAGATAAACTGTGCCACAACCTAAGCTCAGAAATTACAGCTCTTACCCCGGCTAAATGCTGCACAAACACCTGATTGAGCAAGGGCAAAAACAATGTCACGTGCGGCTACAATCTCTATTATCTTCGATCTCTTTCTCAGGAAAGGTAGGACCATGGAACAGTGACCTTTAGGATCATGAGTATCATATTCCTCCTATAAACAATTCATTACACTAAGTACAATCTTCTCCAAATGCTTCAAATCACATGGGCATCGATTAACATTTCAAATACAAGCCACACATGATCTCTAAGGTGCAAATAATCTTGTGACTGAGTGTTCAAAATCCTAAATCAATGAAAGTAATAAGAACACAGATTTTTTTTTTAAGAGAGAGAGATAAGAGCTCCACTGGGTACCATGGAGGATTTTGCAGAACTTGTTGACATGCTGATTGATATGTAGGTATTGTAAATGGAAGGCACCCCCTTGGTGCTTATATTAATATACATACATGTTTATTTCAAAAAAAAAAAAGAATGAGAATAATATCCCAATACCATTTTCATTTTATGCTAGGTCGACCTGCGATTCTTACCTAGACAAGAAAGAATAGAAATTCATCACCTTAGAATCTAGTATAGGAGTTGCGTTGGTTCAATTGTTAACCAACGATGAAAATCATGACGTAATCCTACATATCAAGCAATTAAGGTCCAGGAAATATGATGGAAATAGAATAGGAAATGAACTAAACAGGGCATTCCAACCAGGCCTGAATTTCAGAAATATTTCACAAAGTACCAGTCATTTGAACTGTTTAGATAAACAGAAATACGTTTTTTTTCCTTACTATTTCTCAAACAAGTTAATGTCCTATTAGAAGGCTCTGGGGTTTTGTCCTCAATCTTCCAAACATTTGTTGGTAGCTGGTATTCTATTAGAGATGTATTGTGGGCACGAACTGGATCATGTGTCCAGGGCCAAGAAGAAGATCATGTCCCTCAAACCCCGCTAGTTGGTTTCCAAGTTACCTCCAAAATAGGGACCAAGGGAATATAAGAGCTTCTGAAGACCCCAATTTCCCTTCTGCTAGCATTAGATATCATCGGTTCTGCAGCCTTCGTATTTGGTTTACGACCATCCTCTCCGAGAAGGAGATTGTAGTGATCTCATTGATTATTTTTCTATTCTGAGGAATCCTATTGGACATGGATGGCATCCCCTTTGTGCCCGTAATAATAACTTCTCTTGTCAAATAAAAAATTCCCAAAAAGAATCAACTGCCAGAGAAGCTTCGAGTTAGATCTAGGAATTAGTAAAAGCATTTATTAGATCATCGCGACATTTTCTCTTGATGTTTTCTAAGAGAAGCGGAATATTGTATACGAGAGGATAGGAATTCTCTCAAGAAAAACGAGAATAAAAGTCATAGAAAGAAAAAGAGATTGGCGGCTCAACATAAAAGAGCTTCCTGGCTCCTTTGCAATATAGACAAAGGTACATTCCCGAAAAATCTCTATACAACCTTACCCACATAAGAAATATTAATGTTGAACTAAG